GTTCTATACCCAAACAATCTAACATAAATTATTAAGTGAATAATAATCGTGCTGCTATCACGGGTATTCAAATGCCTCTCAATTTTGTCATTAACCCACCACATTACTGTCATTAAAAGAAAAAACTCCAATAATAGGCCTACTAATGCGAAACTTAAATCTACCGAAGCTGTGCATCGTTACCAGACTAACGAAATTACGTCAAAATTGATTAAAGCAAAAATTATCGGCGGTAGGTTTAAGGGTTAATTATAGTCTTAATCCCAAGAATACTGATGATTTCATCCGAATTACCCTCTGATCTTAAGCAACTACAATTTCCTTAGTGTCTTGCTTTCGCAATCACCATAAGGCAACAATAAGGGACAATCCCTGACTATCGTCAGTTTAAATGTAGAAAAAACATGCTTTTCACACAGACAGATGTATTTTGTTAGCGCAACAACGTGCGCCGGGTAACTAGTAATTGATAAAAATATTTTTCTTACAGTTTTATTGATATTAAAATGTGTTTACTCCTCATTGCATTGTTTTAGCAAATTTCCTATATAGGGAATAAGCTATTACGGTAGTACTCATCATAAGATCTGAACCCAGGACCGATTTACTTTTTTGTTTTGAGGTCCCTAGAGGCCAAAAACACCATCCATGATCAATCAAAAGTAATCCGATTTTGATGAAATTTTGAAGAAATAACGTTTAAACCTACATTTATTTGAACGAGTTCGCGAACCAGCATGATCGCCTATGGAAACGAGGGTTAATGGGGGGTTTTATGGGTAAAAATGGATTTTTCACATTTTTGACCCAAAAATCATAGGCTAAAATTTAGCAATTTATCCCCAAACTATTTTGTAGAGCTTAAAAAAACAAATACTTTAGTATATTGAAGCGTTATTGTGGGCCTAATGGTTATGGAGAAGATTCCAAAGAATTGTAAATTTGAAATTCCCAGGATGTTATTCTTATGGAGAATAAGTAAACTTTTGTAGTTTTGCTTGTTTATGAACATATTTTGATAAAATTTGGAAAATTGCATCATATCTTACTAAACTATTAACAAAAGACAAAAAACACTTTTTTACCCTCCCTGTTGCAGTAAACCTAAGTGCTCGTTAAACTAATAATCATATTTAACTAGTACACCCGTGCGGCTCTATGCGCCACAAAATTATTTTAAAAATTAAAGGAGAATAAACTAATAAAACTTCAATTGAAAAAAAATGTTGTCAGTCAAGTAGCACTTCCTTGAACATCACGTTAGATGTGGAAAATAATCCATCTGGTAGTAGGCCTACCCTCTGGTTACCAGTTTCGTTGATGAAAACTTTAGTGCCATTGAATGACCTAGACTTACTAAGGGCAACATAAAGCTGGCCGTGAATGAATACAGGATTAGGTAGGTAAATTTCAGATTTGGTTAGCATTTGGCCCTGTGCTTTATTAATTGACATAGAAAACGCTGACAGGAGAGGCAATTGTATTCTTTGCATCTTAAATGGTAGATTTTTAGCGAATTTCCCTATAGGGAAGTAGCTATTACCGTAGGTGGCACGGTAAGACCTAGACCCGGGACCGATTTACTTTTTCATTTTGATGTCCCCAGAGGCCAAAAACACTATTCGTTCAAATTTTTATATATGTATATATATATATATAGACTTATATATATATATACATACGTCCGTGAACGCGATAACTTGAGTAATTTTTGTCCGATTTTGATGAAATTTGGTTTAAAGGTGTAAAGCGGGATAAACTTGAATGAGTTCGCGAACCAGCACGATCGGACCATGGAAACGGGGCTTTACAGGGGGTTTTATGGGGTAAAAATTGGTTTTTCTCACTTTTGACCCTCAAAACACAAAATTTCCCAATTTCTCTTTAGACCTTTTTAAAGAGCTTAAAAAAACAAATAATTTAGTATGTAAAAGTATTTTTGTTCGATTATTAGTAACGGAGAAAATTAAAAAAATTTTAAATTTAAAATTCCCATGTTATTCTTATGGAGAATATTGTCAAATGTTGTAGTTTGCTTGTTTATGAATATATTTTGATCAAACTTGGCAAATTTATTTATTTTGTACTAAGCTATCAATATTTTACTCAAAAACACACTTTATTAGTTTCCTTGTAGCAGCAAACCTAGGTACTCGTTAAACCTAATGTTATTAAAATATATTTAACTGAAAATCAATTCAGACGGAAATTCGCTTAGTCGGCAGGTTTGCTGCGGCGGGGGTATTTATAAATATGTTCATAAATTTACTTTAAACAGATTTAGCTGCACTGCATATTTCACATTGATATGGGCATTGAACTTCTTGATAAGATGGGTTAAATAATTACAAATCTGTTTGTTATCTACTGTTGATCCACGAACAATTAAAGAACTATGGGATTATGCACTGTGGCATGTTCATTAACAGACGTTGAGGGTTGGAATGAGGGTGATCATGTCGGCAATGGCCTAGCTTTTATTACTGGTATTTTACGAGAATAAATTCTTTTTTTTTTTATTTAAATGTCGATGTGATTAATAGTTTATGTATCGTTTGATTTATTGTATTTTCTAAACGGCACCAAAGTCCATTTGCTTTTAAAAATCTAATTATTGCATATTGTAATTCTGATTTTGCTCTCATGTCGTCGTGTGTGGTTTTGCCTGTTTAGTACCGAATGTAAACAACTAACAGCTGTTTCCACTCCACAAAACATCCTCCCCTTTCAGTGTTAGTCGCCACTAGAACTTGGACTCAGAATATAATATCTGAATAACTCAACGAAACTGAATCTTTATATTCATTATTTAATTACGGTCACTTAGGAATCTCTCCGACAAAAACTGATTGTATTTTTGGATTCAGCGTCAAAAAACTGTAAGTAGACATAAAAAATTACAAGATACAGTATTGGGTATATTAGACATAGGCTATTAAATAATTACCAAAATGTCAATTTTTTTACTTAAGTTACCGTAAACTATATGATATTTGGTTTGTAATTAGGTAGGCCTAGGGCCTAAGGCCCTGTACACATGAGGGCGGCAGCCGCCGTGGTTGCCATTGTGCGGGAACCGCGGCAGTTGAAAGTACAAAGGAGCAAATGGGACCGTTCACATGCAACCGTCCACTTCCAATCAACCGCAACAAACCGCGGCGGTCGTAGATTTCCCTTCGACCACCGCGGTTCCCGTGCGGTTGAAGTTACTAGAGTTGGCATGAGAGCGTACACATGAGGGCGGTAGCCGCCGCGGTTGACTGCAGTTGCTACTATAGGATCACAGACATCTGCGCGCTTGCCCTATGGACATCGCTCTCTCTCTCTCTCTCTCTCTCTCTCTGTGTTGGTGAAGTGTGTAACTGTGGCTGGAGTTGATGTAATGCTCGTAGTGTAAGTTTACAATGGCCATGCGTGCTGCTGTGGAACCAGAAAACTTTGACACTGAACTGTTCATTATAGAAGTACAAAAAGAAGATACGTTTAGGACATAAACTAAAAAAGATTGCGTGGAAAGAGTTAGTTGAGTTTTTGCTGAAAAGAATTGTCAAGCGTTGCGCGTTTAAAAGAAAAGTAATTGGGTAAATACAGTACTGGCTGTCGAGCGACGGTCAATTCACACCGCAACCGCAGCGTAACCGCGGCTCCAACCGCTGTCATGTGTACGGTCCTAGGCGGCCGCCGCTGCGGCCACCGCGGCGGCTGCCGCTCTCATGTGTACAGGGCCTAATTAAGATAGGTCTATCATAAACTAAACTGATCCAACTAAGTTAACCTAACCTATACGCTACTGTTCACTGTGAGTGTGGCGTGCTGTCATCTTCTTGAATTAAAGCCATTACAACTTTAACCAAAAATCAACATTTAACATAAGCCTACCGGTATCTAAAAAAGGCCTATTATAGGCTAACTTAACTTTACAGTACGGTATAAATATTTATTGCAAATAAAAATGTTATCCAATAAGTTAATAGATCATAGGTTCTCTGCGGGTTCTGTAAAGAAGCTAAAGTCGTTGTGTTGCCAACAGAGCTTTTAAATTTTCCTTAGACGATTATTTTGATGCACAGTTTATTTTTTTAATTATTTTTATGCCGCCTGACACTCAACTCAAGTTAATTAATTAATACACAGAGGATATGTGTCCGGTAACCAGATGTGGATTAGGCATCCGGCAGTGACGTCACGGGGTTGTGGGGGCCCGGAAGGCCATTACCACAATACGATTCAGCCATTGGTGTTTGTGGTGTAGTGGATTGAGAGCTCGGCTGATACGCAGTAGGTCCCTAATTTGAATCCTATCGGTAACCTTAACTTTTTGTCGAAGATTTTGCTTTGAATGTTTTTTTCTTCTTAACTGCACATCTTTTCTTAGAATTTTTTGCATTTAAAATTTTATTTTATGAACAGAATTTAACCTTCATTTGATTTTTTTTATTGTCAACAAGTTTGGTTGGTTAGGTTAGGTTATGACAGTAACTGCCGGACACCTAATCCACGTCCTTTTACCTTAACGTAACTTATTTAACGTATCCTCTGCGTAGCCTAATTAATAGTAATTAAGATGTTTAAGTAATTTTAATTTTTAAGTTTTATGATTTTTTGTATCATTACTGACGCGACCTATCCAGAAATGGTCAACGGTCAAGAGGATGGCAATTATGTTGTAGGTAAGTTTACAGCTAGGCCTATCACCACTTGAAACTAAGAATACACTATGATCAAGCCATGCATCTACAAAAACTGTTTATTTAGCCTAGCCCTAAAACTTATTGCCGTATTGTAACTTCTTGTATGGTAACTGTCTCTGGTAACTTGTCTCTGTAAGCAAGTTTCCTTGATGGCTCTTTTAACTAAGTTATGAGAGTAGCCTAAGCCCATACTGATTACACAAAACGATGCAAAGAATGCACATATTATGTTAGTTCAGGTAAACTTGAGACCAAAGCCTTAAGGAGATAGCCTATTAATTTAGGCCTATCTTACGTTAAGTTACTTACTAAGGTCTTCCACTTTCGGTGCATTGTCAACAAACTTTTTCTTTTCATCTTTGGACAGCTTTTTACTCTTTCCCGACTGCTTGTCTTTTTTGTTCTTTCCCACAACTTCCCACTGGCCAGACATTATGAGGGATTTGATTTTATCTGGTGATATTTAAAAACTGATAGAAAAGTTCACTGAACAGAAGGGACACTAAGTTACACTTACTACCTAGGCCTAATCGAGATAAATTATTGGCCTAGAGATGGTACAAAACCTATACGTGTTGGTAAAAAATATATATACCTAGGCTTAAATGAAAATTATTATTGAGTATTTTGGAAATAACAAATTATTGAACAAGTAAATCAAGCAAATTTTAATATTTTTGACACTGAAACGTTGACAGGAATGTCATAAACAACACAACACAACGAACAGGTAAGGTAACACGAACACGCCGAGCCCGAGCCGACAACGACAGCGACGCTACACAAGCCAGGCCACGACGAAGTATCAGCTGGAGCTGGCGTGGACGTTAACGGAAAGCTAACGGATTTTTCAACAATAACACTGGACAAGTGTCAAAATCTACGTCACCTTGTCTGACAGGACAATAAAGCTAGCCAACACCATCGAGTTCTAAAGGTAAAATAAACGAATGTGTACTATAAAACGACCAAAAACTAAATGTTTTGTGTTAGCGAATTTCCCTATTAGCCCAGTCAATAAAGATATAAATAAGGTAAATTTCGGAAGTAATTTTGGGAAAACTGGATTTTTCTATGCTGCTAAACCATGTATTTTCCCCAAAAGTCCCCACTCCTTCCCCCTGTGCTTTCCTCTCTCCACCACTTTTTAAATAAATTCACAGTCTCTTAGAAAATTAGCGATAACTTCAAAACGGGTAAGGATAACAATGCAATCTTTTATTAACCCTTTTTGCGATAAGATTTTCTACAAAAAGTGTAACCGTGTTAGCCTTAATACAGTATTGATAGTTTCGTCACAAAAATAACATAAGCATAAAAACAATCCTACTTCCTACTTAATATTATAAATGAGAAAGTTTGGATGTATGGATGTATAGATGTATGGATGTATGTTTGTGACAAGTGAACGCGAAAAATACTGGTCGGATTGGGCTGAAATTTGGCATGATGATAGCTCACATTCCCGATTAACATATAGGCATATTCTTATTTCAAAAATCCTTTCGGGCTCCGCCCCAGTGGCTCTGGAGTTTCCCATGTTAACCTTATGAGAAATGAAATTATTGAATCTTAACAGCTGTTTCAATTAAACATGTTGGTTCTGTTCTGTGATGTTCAATAGCATTAAAGTTACAAAAATTACCAACAGGGTGCAGCACTATTATTTCTTTTACATTTATGACAACAGCTAATTTGCAACCAAAAGGTGAGTGAGCGTAGCGAACGAACTTCAACCTGGAGGCGAGTTAGCGTAGCGAACGAGCTAACCTGAAGGTTAGTGAGCGTAGCGAACGAGCTCCAACCTAAAGGTGAGTGAGCGTAGCGAACGAGCTCCAACCTAAAGGTGAGTGAGCGTAGCGAACAAACTTCAACCAGGACGTGATTGAGCCATGCGAACGAGATAATCTTGAAAATTAAGAAGTTAAACGGGGCAAAGCCCGCGGGTTACAGCTAGTAATTCATATTTTGAGATGTTGTGGGGGCTGAAAGCAAAAGCTGCAAAGTCCATTTTTTTGGGAAATTGAGTTATCGGTACCACTGTGTGCTCCATTGCATCTACTTTTATAATATGAAAACCTTGGAAGCAAAATCAGCTCAGAAATATTTGTTTTATATCTTTGAAAAGTGGCCTTAAAAGCAAATAAGTCTGCAAAATCCAAGTTCAATAGTTGACATTTGAGAAGCAAAATCAGCAAAATCCAATTCCACCAATCAGAGTCCTTGGGTCAGTCACGTGATCACCTTGAGTAATGGCTGCTTCTTGTTGATGTTTGTGTCTGTGTTGTTGATGTGTGTGTTGAATAAGTGAAAAATGAAGGACTTCATTCGCTTTTTTAATTACGCTAAGAAACTCTGTGTTTTTATGTAATAAAGTTACTTTTAAATCCTTATGTTTTATTTATTATTTCCTTCACACCTAATTAATACTATATTTAAGGCAACGCTAACATTATAGTTAACACTATTGAATTATAATTTAGTGTTAAAATAGGTATTTTCACATATAAATGTTAAAAACATATTCATCACAAAACCAATTAAGTAAAGACTTGGAAGCAAAAGCAGCAAAATCCACATCTTAAAAGCAAAACTAGCAATGTCCAAACTAAAAGCTTGTGTAACTACTAAAATAATGAGTTCTAAGAACTAATTAATTTTAAATATTCATTTTTGGAAGGTAGAGAAAAATTTTTAGCTTTCTAACTTTGGTTTCACCGCCTCAAATTGTATTTTGGCTCTCCTGTAAAATTTTCAGGAGTGGAGATTGCGGCTTTTGCTTTTAGCCCCCACGTTTTGTCTCTAGATAACACAGAACAAACAATTTATATTTTGTTAAAAGGTATAGAATTAGCTGAATACTGCCAGAGTGATCTTATGTATAGTCCAAATGAATTACGCGTTTCGAGGACTTAAGTCCACAGCATCAGATCTTTTACAAGAACATTTTACACTGTCAATAAAATTTAAATATATAAAAATATAAATATAATAAACATATAAAAAATTAATTTTTTCAGATTATTTGTATGCATCTTTTTTGCAGATTTTGTATGAGGTAGCACAACAAAATGTTTCATGTAAAAGTTGTTGTACATTAAGCTTTATAATGATTTTATAGTTAAAAACAGTTTGTTCGCGTATAGTGCTTATTGTACAGTAAATTATGATTTCACAGGACTCTGGCTTTTTTTATGCGCCACAACAATGAAAACAATTTACATGTATTTGGTTTTGTATTTAAATTTGCCGCTTTATATAGAACATATTTAACGTTCTGTAGTTCATTTAGTACATATACATAAGGTTGTGAATACTTATGAATAAATATTGTGCATTTTGTTGTATGCGTGGAGCGTGGGACTCATTTTATTATGTGATGTGGAAAGCGAAAAAGTGTGCCGTGTGTTGTGCTCAATGCTCAACGGCACTGTTTAAATTGTTGCGTGGTTGGTACTACTGGCTGCGTTCTGCTGGACGTTCATCGGCTGACATTTTGTGGCTCCCGTTTCTCAGACTTTGGGTTTGAGATTGTTCCAAGGCTACGGGGTTTTCTTCCGGAAGAGTTTTCTTTTGTGAACCCTGAAGTTTTTAATTTCATAGACCCGTTTCCAACTGCTCGGAATGGAGCATTTCTGCGAGTAGAGTTTTCATACCACGGGGTCGGTGACTCCACCTGCGGCCTGCCACCTTTAGAATGCTAGAACCTGCACCCTTATGAGCATTCTCCGGTGGGACTGACTTCTGATGGGACTGCGCCATACCACTCCCTGTGCACCACCCACCTACACCGCTAGGACTACAGTTACTCCGGCCTAACACCGTGCTGCCGTGTCTGGGGAGCGGCCACCATGCCCTTGGCTCACTTCTACTCCCTGCTAACCCACCTGGACAACAGCGAGGTTTTACGGTCAGGTCAGTCCAGTCCATTCGGAGAGTCTCATCCATCATGAAGAAATCTCACTCAACATAGGCACTTTTTTATTTAACTTATATAACTAAACCTTGTAATCTTTTTACCTGCAATTTAACAAATTAGGCTTTCATTCTCTAAATTTAATTTATCCTTAATATTTTATTCAAATTTTAAATTCTTTTCTCTTAATTCTGTTTCACACCCCTTGATTGAGGGTAAAAATTTTTTTTTCCCTTGACAGTTATTTTACCGCTTGGAATATATTGTTGGAATATATTTTTGCGAGGCGACCACATTTGTTGATAGCGTAAATGTTTTTTCATGTTTGTAAATGTAAAGATTATTTATTTTAAATGTAGGCCTAGGGCTAATGTGATTTCTTTTAAATGTTTTAAAAATGATTTTATAAGGTGGCCACCTAACCTAACTGAAGTTAAACTTGTTTGAAATAGTACATCTAAATGTTTTCGCCTTATGGCAGTTTCAGGCTTACCAAAATATAGCATTTCTAATTTTAAATTAAATTGTTTTATTAAAGAAATTTTTAAATTTTTTTAAAGCTTTGATTATTATCTTGGCTAGGGCAATGCCTAATGTTTATTGTTATTTATTGTTGTATTGTTATATTTTTCCTATATATATTGAATTGAATAAATTTATATTTTGTCCAGCCAGCTCTTGTGTTGTCATTGTTTGTCCTCCACCTCAGCAATATTGTGCCGGAATCCCACCATTGATTTTGCGCTTCCAAGGGCTTCACCCTTTTGATCAATGGAGTTGGGAATTCGGTTACAAATGGTAGCAGAGCGTGGTTGGTCCAATTTACTGTGCAATAGGTTGATAAAAGTAGTAGAAAAAAAAAAATTTTTTTTGCACAGTAAATAAAGTTGGTAATTTTTTCAAATGAAATTTGTTGAGGTTAGGAGGACATGGCATTTGTGTTTAGTCATAGTGGTTCATTTGTTCTTTGTCTGTTAGTTATTTATTTGTTTTTGTGGTCGTCTCATGAATCTGATTTTGGCCTGTTGGTGGCAGGCTGATGTTGATTGTTGGCCCCGTGGTTGTGTTCTCATCTGTGAATTAGAGGTCTTAGGAAGTTAGTGATTGTTATTTGTCGCATTGTTGTGTCTGAAAAGTGTCAATTTTTGTGTTAGGTGTCAGAATGTCTAGCTCTTTGATTCCCGAGTTTCTGCTCAAGGACGAGCTTGTGTTTGAGGTGAAGGCTAGGGGAGCTGAACCTGCGACTGATGTGAGCTCTTTGCGTACACAGTTGCGAGGATTGACAGCGAGCAAGTTTGTCACATCGTGGCCACCCACCTTAGTGGTCACTGATGAGTTGGAGGCTTGCAGGTCAAAATTTGAGGAGTGGGATGGTCGTGTCGAGGAACTGAAAGATGAGCCCTTGACCGGTAGAGCGAGGTCCCGAGCGATTTCTCGCATTGGACATTTGAGGGGACGCGCTGGCCTGTTGGCTACCGTAGGCTCACTCAAGGGGGACGACCTTGCCTGGCTCAAACAAGTTTTATGGGAGCCTGGAAGAGATGTTAGCGGCCCTTGGCCCTAAGACTCAACGCACTTCGGAAGAACCGAACGTGGCGACCGAAGTTACTCCGGTCAGTCGCAATGAGGTTTCGACCGAAGTTGGTCCGGCTCCAGCCTCTTGCTCTCCCATTCCGTGCGCTCCGGCTCAACAAAACGAGCCCACCTCCAAGTGTTCTGGCTCTTTGGCCTCTGCCTCGTACAACAAGCTTCCCAACCCTTTGACGCCTCTTTTGCAGGCTCTGCCTTGTGTTGACGGATTGGAAGTCCACAGATTGTTGAAATTTTTGGCAGACTTGTTCCGAATTAGG